TTAGGAAGAGTAGAAGTAACTAGTCTCATAAATGTTGAGTTTTGTGTTTAAAATTCTTATTGAAGGTGGGAGAGGGAAGGAATTTCTAAACTTTATGGAGAACAATCATAACTTTAAAAGAAGTTTAGGCTTTAAAGTTCCTTTCATATTCCAAGGATATTTAAGAGTAACTTGTAACATGAATATACACTCCAAATTGTTAGATTTGGAATAGCCTGATGTAGGAACCAAACATTGGGTCCAAAGTCAGAGTGGGAAAAATAAACGCACATCTGTGGATGAAGCCACGGACAGCTCCCTTTAAAAGGAGCTGCCGTGGTTCAGTTTGCATTGCTGTACTGGACCTGAAATAAACGTTCTAAACCTACTACGAGTATCCTGTTGCATCTATCTCCATCCACTATTCAACACTGGTGACGAAGGTGGGATCTGGATGAAAATAGGACACCAACCGCTGAACAAAGACTCCACGTGGTAATCATTGGCCATCAGACTCAAAACCTATTGGCCAACGCAAGTTATCTTCGATTATTCCATCCGCTCCTTTCAACCCTATGGGAGAAGACTGGGATTCCTACATGGAACACTTTCATATGTTCCTGGAAGCAAACAACCTTCTGAGCCTGTCCGAGCAGAGAAAGAGGGCTCTCTTCCTCACACACTGTGGAGCTGCCATTTTTAAAATGGCCAAAGCCCTTTCATCACCGGCGGAGCTGAAAACCATGACCTGGTGGGCACTAGAGAGAAACCTAAGGGCACATTACACTCCACAGGCATCATCACTCATTCAGCGACACGAGTTTTATCGGCGAGACCAGTGAGAAGGCCAGTCAATCAGCAAATTTGTCACTACCCTACAAGTGATCGCAAATGCATGTGAGTTCTCCAATATGGACCATCTAGTGCTGGGGCTTCGTGACCTAACACTACAAAGCCGTTTGCTAGTGAAACCCAGAATCACTTTCCATGAAGCGACGGAGGTTTCCCAAAAATCTGCAGTAGCAATGTGGAAAATGAATAAATTGCCACAAGCAAGGGAAGCCGCCACTGTCCACTACAAGGACGCAGAGACAGAATCCGAGGATGGAGATGAGGAAGAAGTCCACCAACTCCGTTCATACTGGAAAGGGAGATATCCAGAGAGAGAAAGAAAAGGGTTCTGGTGTGCCGGATGCTAGGGAAACCATCCCAGGATGGAATGCAGGTTCCGAGATGCCATCTGCCAGTGATATGAGAGAAAAGGGCACATCGCAAGAGTCTGCAGAGCATCCCAACCTGTTTCCCACAAATCCAGACAATCCAGCCCCCCACAGCATCCCAAGAGTTTCCAGAAGAGTGGCTGAAAGAACCCGTTTGGGAGAAGCCGCCGCAGAGATGACAACAAATCTGAGAGAGGGGAAACATACCAAACAATAGTTTTGGGGCATTCAAGAATGGGAAAAGCAAAGAAGATGGCGGCAACCATTTACATCGAAGGGAGACCATGTAAGATGGAGGTCGACTCAGGATCCTACCTTTCCATGGTCTCTTGGACGACAATCAAAGAGTTGGTACTGGACATCACAATCCGCAAACTCAAGCCACAGAGACTGACCCTAAAAAACTACCAAAGAAACTGAATTCCAGTGCTGGGAATTGTATCAATGTAAGTTTTAAACAATTCAAGGGACAGCTACCGCTAACTATTGTAGACTGGGACCGACCTAGCCTGCTGGGTTTAGAATGGTTCGAACCCCTAGATCTAGCTGTGATGGGAATCAAGGTAGCGTATCAACAGCTGATGCCACAGCAGAGGCCCAAACTATAGTGATGCATAGAGGGGCTGTCAGGAATGCTTCCTTCAAAGTCCAAGAAAGAATGACCTAGACTCCATTATTTTAGAAGCAGGTACTTTGGCTGGAAAATGAAGTGATCACAACCAAAGAAAAGCAGGATCTGAGAGCATGAAAATTACAGATAGAAAGCATCCCTTCCCACTGTCCAATGTAAATCATCCAATCCAAAGGTCTCCCAGGGGTCAGGTGGAAGCACATGTCTGGCGGTGTCATCAATCAGATTCAAATACCAACGATTGCAGTTTGGGGTAAGCGTGGCCCCGGGACTGTTCCAGAGTCTTATGGAATGCCTCTTACAGGGTATCGAAGGGGTAGTTCCATATTTTGACGATGTCCTTATATCAGCCATTAACAAGGATCAATTACGACAAAGACTGAGGACAGTATTAAGCCATTTCCAGGAGGTGGAGTTAAAAGTAAAGAAGGATAAATGTCAACTGGCAGTGGAAAAAGTGGAGTTCCTAGGATATTTGATTGATAGTTCTGGAATACCCCCCACCATTGGCAAATTGAAAGCGATCTGAGAAGCCCCAACCCCTACCAATAAGACGGATCTCCAAGCATTCCTGGGATTATTAAATTTTTATAATATTTTACTGCCACAGAAAGCAATGATTGCATAACCTCTGCACTGGCTACTCGATAAGAAAGTAGAATGGAAATGGGGACGAAAAGAAGCAAGCACATTTAACCAAATAAAAAGACTTTTAACATCAGACCGTGTACTTGTACAGTATAATGAAAATCTACCATTAAGATTGACGTGTGACGCTTCACCTTTTGGCATAGGGGCCATACTAAGTCATAGCATGCTGAATGGAAGAGAAGCCCCCATTGCTTTTTATTCCAAGACCCTATCAAAACCGGAAAGAAACTACAGCCAGCTAGACAAGGAAGTGCTGGCTGCAGTTGCTGGAATCAAAAGATTCCAAGAATACGTTTACAGCAGGAGGATCAAGCTATTTTCTAAAGCACCTGAAGGCCAGACAAGGAATAATGGATGGAAACTGAACAAAAAGAGATTCAACCTGGAAATAAGGAGAAATTTTCTGACAGTGAGAGCAATCAACCAATGGAACAGCTTGCCTTCAGAAGTTGTGGGGGCTTCGTCACTAGAAGCTTTCAAGAAGAGACTGGACTGCCATCTGTCAGAAATGGTGTAGAATCTGCTTGGGCAGGGCATTAGACTAGATGAGCTACGAAGTCCTTCCAACTCTGATAATCTGTGTGTATCTGTATCTGCAGATAATGAAAAGATTTGTCGTCTATCTCCTGACACGTCTTGCCCTCTTAGCTGGACATATGGCAATACTTTATTTTTTTCATTTAGTATTACAGCTTTATTTTTCAGACAAAGAGACACAGGGCAAATGGACACTTGACTCTTGAATCTATATCTAGTTATACTTTTAGACTTGTAACTTTTATTGCTATTACCTTAATAGCATGCTTACTTCAGTAAACAAGGAGAGTACTTAAATGGATTCTTCTTGACTTTTCTTCTGCTTTTAATATCGCCGTAAGGTATTTATAGAAGGGAATTTTATTTATGGCTATATGAATATGGGTATTTATTTATGCATGTTCTAGTTTGGAAATTCACTATCTTTCATAATGTTTACAAGTCAGAGGTACAACTTGATATGAGACCTGGACCCAAATATCATGTCTTCTTGCATAAATGTTTTAAGAAAAAGGCATGCAGTATGAAATTGGCTCATCTGAAAATTGTATTCTTATCTGTATGATTGATTAACAATAAGTTTTGCAAACCTTTCCTGACCTGGGTTCTATTATTATAGCCAACCATCAAATATTCTTAACATTTATCCTATCATTTTTATAAATGCAACTATAATAAATAATAATTTCTATACTGTCTTTATTTTTGAAGGGTCAAGAGAAGTACTGAGTTCTATAGTTGACTACTTATGATCATAGTTGATTCTTCCAGCAGTTGGACAATGGCTATGCACAACATATTGATTGCTAGAATGTGATATTTAATGGTGTTTCACATTCATGTGTATTTTCTTTTCTCATTACTGAATAGTTTTAACATATGCTGGTGTGAACTCTGTAAGTAAGTATGTGTTGTGCACACTTGAACATGTGCACAACACATGCTTTGTATTTATTCAACTGTTTCTGAATCTAATAATAGTTCTAGTGACATTTTTAGCTTCACAGTATCATGCTACTTTGATTATCTGAGAACTGGGTCTCACAGTTCTTTGGGATGAAGTTGAACATGACAAAATGAGGACCTCACTTCCTGTACTCTTCCCATAAAACCTGACATTCAGATGACAGCAAGCAAAATAAAGCAAATGAAGAGGAGTATACAATGACATGTCAGGAAATGCAATGATCTAGGCAGAAGTGGTCAATGTGTGGTATTCCATATGTTGCTGAACTATAGTTAACTATACTTGCAGGCCTTGGATGTTCTAGCCACATCACATAACAAGTGTTTTTGCTTACTAGTAATAAAATATTGAGTTTCAGTGATGCACTACTTGAGTTCGACTGACTATAAATTTTTTGATTTTTTAAAAAATGTTGTGGACTATGGAGGTGTCTTACTACATATAAATGATTTTTGTTTAAAGAAAACCAAATAACTAATTTGTTTTTGAATAATTGTCAATAAAATAATATTTTAGTTGCTTCAGGTATGTGTATCTGTATTTAGTAGAAAGAATAGGCTTAATGCATTATTTAAAAAAAATAATATATTGCTTTGAAATTATCAATTAAATATTTGGTCATAGGCTGCAAATGTTTTGGCATTAATGCATAAAAACTTCCATATCTGATTTATTTTATAATGTGTATCTTCAAGTACATTAAACATAGGCAAGAGAAGTGGCATTTATTATGTAAAATTGTTCTATAACATTCATTTAAAAATTCATTTAATGTTTGGAATGACCCCGATGTTTTCTCTTTCTTTCCTTCCTCCTCCACACTAACTTCCTTCTACTGAGCATGTATTATGCTCAAAATTTGGTCAAAAATGTTTTAATACATAAGAATCCTAAAAGTAACTTTCATGTAATGTAAGATTTATATGATAAAGCATTACTTTATTGTCAATCCAGTAATAAATTAGTTTGGCCAGTTTGGGTCTAACGTATTTTCTTTATTAATGCTTTTTTCCAGGCCATTCTGCTAATCTAACTTGTCGAGCATTCTTTGGATACAGTGGAGAAGTCAGTCCTTTAATGTATTGGATGAAAGGTGAAAAGTTTATTGAGGATTTGGATGAAAGTCGGGTTTTGGAGAGTGATATTAGGTAATATATATATATATGTTTTGTCAAGACTAATATCTACTTTTCTGAAATGAATAAAATACTATTTAAAAGAGGAATAGACATTATTACAGTGCAGAAAATCATCTGAGCCTTGTTCTTTTGCAGTACAATTATTGAGATTGGCATAGAAAATTGATGTTTCATATATATATATATATGCAGGTATTCTAAAACTGCTAGTTTTAGAGTCTACTGTTAAAGCAAGAATGAAGATTCAGCAACTGTAAAAATGTCTAGAAACTATTTACACAATAAAATACTAACTCTCTCTCTGTCTGTGTGTGTGTGTGTGTGAAATTCATTACTTACACAAATCCCTTCTGTGATATTCATTGGGATGTTTCTTAATCTTTGGAAATAGTGGTAATTGCTTTTGGTGTTTATATTTGTGGATATATGTTGTTTTCAAACAAACAAGTATTATGTACATAAAGAATTATAAACAAGGTTTGAAATTCCAAAGAAAATTATTACTCCTAAATTACTCGAAGAAATGCATTCATCTTCTGTGGATATTAACATCTATTACTTAATCTTTAAAAATGGAATAATCTAGAAATATATTTTTTTAAAAAAATAGAATATATTTCACCTTAATTGCAAATAAATAAATAAATAAATATTTTCTGAGGTTTTCGCGGGTGTTTGTATGTAGGTCTTTGGTTATTCGGGTTTTCTCCCACGTAAAATTGGAAGACACTTCTAATTTTACGCGGGAGAAAACCCGAATAACCAAAGACCTACATACATATTTAATATATATATTAAAGTTATTTAGATAGCTATGGAACAAGAACAACTGCTGATATTTTAGCAAAAACAATGCTTATAAATATCAATTTAATTGCTGATCTCATTAGCAGCAACAAATGTGTATAAATATATATTGATAGTAAAGCAAACTAGCGGTTTAATTACATCAACTCTCCTTTTTTTTTTTAAATAAAGATCATATTAAGATTTCTTTCATTCTTTCCAAAAATATTATTTTTCAACAATTTTTCAATAACCAAAAATATTTCAACAAAATATATTTCTTTTTATTAGAGTCCTTAAAGAACATCTTGGAGAACAAGAAGTTTCCATCTCATTAATTCTTGATTCAGTGGAAGAAGGGGATCTTGGAAATTACTCCTGCTATGTTGAAAATGGTTATGGCCGCAGACATGCTACAGTTATTCTACTTAAAAGGGGTGAATATATCTATATCTATATCATCTATATCTATATCTATATCTATATCTATATCTATATCTATATCTATCTATAACTATAACTATAACTATATCTATCTATCTATTGACTATTGTTATATTTTGTGTTGTATAAAGTTGTGTTCCTGAAAGTATAAATTAATTTTCACTTTCTTTAGGATGGCATTTTAAATAAATAATAAAGAAACCAATCATTAAATGTGGCTGTCTGTTGAAGAAATACAGTTCAATAACTTTGAAACGCATGTAACAAATGAAAAATTAATAAGTATTTTCTAGTAGGAAGTTATTGCTATTAGTATTTCTGGAATGCTGGGTTGAAGAGGCTGGTCTGCTCGGTCATGAGCAGGCGGGGTTCAGAGCAGATCATTCTACTATTGACCATGCTCTGATCTTATACCATCTAGCCTTAAAATACTCTACCCTTAGGAAAGGCCATCTCTGTGTTGCCTTTATAGACTTAAAGGCTGCTTTTGACAGTATTCCCAGATATAAACTGTGGGGCAAACTCCTTTCCTGGGGCATCGATAAAAGACTTCTCTGGCTCATCTCCCAACTGCATGAGGGAACGGAGGCAAAAGTGCGCCTTACCCCCCAAGGGGACCTTTCCAACGCCATCCCTGTTAATAAGGGGGTCAGACAGGGATGTATATTGGCACCCCTTCTTTTTAACTTATATATTAGCGATTGGAGAAGGGCGTTAATGGTCCAACTGGATTATATCCATGCCCCCAGATTAGCTGACTATAGGTGCCCGCTCCTGCTCTATGCGGATGATGCGGCGATTCTTTCATTCTCTCGGGTGGGTCTGCTCAGAGCCCTTAAAATTCTTTCCAACTATTGTTGCGCCAACCAACTGTTTATCAACCATTCTAAGTCTAAAATTATGATTTTCTCAAGAAGCAGGAAAAACTATCAATGGAGGCTCGATGGCATACCAGTGGAACAGGTCCATAGATTCCAATATTTAGGCATTCTTTTCCAATCTAATGTCATGTGGCTTGCGCAGGTCAAGTCCCTCCGCACCAAGGCCAAGGCCACTACGCATGCCCTTCTACAATTCTTTTACACGGAGGGAGCCCAACATATTCCCTCAGTATTGAAAGTATATAGGGCAAAGTTGATAGCTGCCATTACATACGGCGCCCCCCTTTGGGTTCAAACAAATATTTCCCTCCTCGAGTCAGTTCAAAGCCAGTTCTTACGCTGCCCAATGGGAGTTCCCCCCCTTGTGAGTAATGCTGGAATCCGCTTGGAACTGGGCACACCATCTCTCGCTACTGTTCTGTGGAAGTGTGCTATTGGCTACTGGCTGACCCTGTGGGTCAGACTTCCAGACTACTATTTAGGCCAGTGCTTATGGCGGGGTGACTTCCACAGTCCTTGGGTCCACGATATTCACACCAAACTTATGAAGATAGGTATTCCCCCTATTGAAGCCCTTATGCTTCGCACAGATGCAGCCAAATTGCTGATATTTCAGTGATTGGATGATATTGAAAGACAACAGAATCTGGCACTTGGTGCGGGAGTATGTTCTCCATTTTCTCTCGGTATTACTCCCCGAATGCACCCCCCCAATATCTCTCTACGCTATCCTTTGTTAAATACACGTTGGCCTTTCTAAAGGCACATTTTAATGTGATCCCCTCGAATGTCCTAGATAGCAGGTGCTCGGGATGTGTGAAATCTACCCACTGTTTATGTGACGGCCAATCTCTGGAATCGTTGGCTCATATCATATTTACATGCCCCCATTATCGGGAGGTAAGGTCAGAACTTATCTCTCCCATTTGCCAAAGATTTCCTGGATTATCTGAGGGGTCTGCTTCTAATCCTACCATTCTGCCTTTGTTGAGACTTTCCTGCAGGGAGTTTCAAAATATCCTAAATTGATTTCTGCCTACAGTATTGATTTCTGCCTGCAGTATTTGCTTTGCTTATGAATAGAGCTATCTAGATATTTGCCTTCCTCTTTCAATAAGCTCTTTATCTCTTAAGTGTTGGCATCTGCTGCGGGCTACTAAGAAAGACTTGGGGGCTGCTTCCTATTCTAGAAAATATTTAGTTTCTCCATTTCTCATTTAGGGAATGCCTTTTTAATATTCCTCAAAATATTTCATTCTTCTATGGTGGGGGGGCTTCCCACAATTGTATCCTCAAGTCAACTCCAAAAACCTCCTCAGGTTATTTTTGTTTATCTAGAAATCCTATATTGGAGCCTTCAAATGCAGACTGAAAATAACATATATACCAACTTGAATGCTATTTTTTAATGCTGATGTTTCCAGTACTTTACAGGTAGCCCTCACATAATTACCACAATTGATCTTGGAATTTCCAGTTGCATTTAATGACATTGCAGTCATTAAATGCATTACCACATGATCTGACTCGATTTTATGATCATTTTTTGTAGACACTATATTCATTTAGCAATTCATATGGTTGTTAAAAAAAATTCCCCTAGAAATGGAATTTTTTGCCAGAAATCTATTTTTGCTAGTCAAGAGTAGTTGATTTGATCCAGGGAATAGTAAGTATAGGATCAAATAAAATTATTAACCATAAAGGAGCCAGCAGTTGTCCATTACTGAAAAGTAATGGACAACTTCCTGTTCTAAATAAATTACTTCTCTCTAATCTAAAATTCCTTTTTGATCCAAGGTGATTGAGAAGGTGGAGTTTATGCAGCTGCAAACATTCTTGGAAGACAACAGATTATATATATATATATATATATATATATAATTAAAAAGGAATAAAAATAACTAAAAATATGCAATGCTGTTTTTTTAAAAAAATATTTTATTGATTTTATTATATATACATAAAAATATAATGACAATTCTGTTTAACATCGGATATGCAGTGTTTATACATAATTACATAAAAAAAATCTGGTGTCACTTATACTATATATTTCTAATTGGTTTCTGCACCTTTTTCTCCTTCCTTAATTTTATAATTCATCCATTCATACCACCTTCCCCACACGGTATAGTAGTATGAATTCTCATCATTATTTATTTCATGGGTTAATTTACTTATCTCTGCACACTCCAAATTTTTCTAATGATAAGTTCTTCCGGTGGTGGGTCTTTCTCTTTCCAGTATTGTGCGTATGCCAGTCTAGCAGCTGTAGTTACGTGTATCAGGAGGTGGACCTTTTCCTTTCCATACCCTTTCTTTACTATTCCCAGGAGAAATATTTCTGGTGTCAATTCAATATCTTCTCCAATTATTTCTTGCAACCATCTCCAAATTCTACTCCAGTATCTTTTTGCCTCGGGGCATGTCCACCACATATGAAAGAAGGTGCCCTGACCATGACCACATTTCCAACAGTTTGGATGCATATTGGGGAACATCTTTGCTAATCTAGCAGGTGCTAAATGCCACCTATGGAGCATTTTGTAATGATTTTCCTTATATGTGGCAGCTCTTGTCAATTTATAATTTTTGTTCCACGCGTCTTCCCATTCATTAAAGTTTAAACTGCGCCCAATATTTCTCTCCCATGCTGTCAGTTGATTTCTGGCTGCATCCTCGGCTCTCTCTTCATCTAATAGGTAGTTATATAACTTGGCCAAAGCTTTTTTTCCTGTTCCCATCAAAATTTTGTCTATTCCATTATATCCTAATTCTAAACCATATTCATCCTTGTCTCTCTGGTATCTTGATTTTATTTGCAGATAGGTCCACCAATCTAGAATTATACCTTGATCTCTCAATACATCATTTGATTTGATATTTCCTCCTCCGTCCACGATGTCTTTATATCTGCACAGTTTCTCCATTCCCCATCTATTGGGGTAAATCAATGCCTCCACCATGGAGAGCCATTTTGGGACTTTTACATAGTATCTCTGCCTAATTCCCGTCCATGTTTGTATTAGGGAGTCCCTAATTTTATGTCTATGGAAATAAGTTTTCTTTTTCTTCTCTGTGTCCCATAAATATGCGTGCCACCCTTTCTGTAAATCATGGCCTTCTAGAGTTAGAATTCTCTTATTTTCCAGAGTGACCCATTCCTTTATCCATATTAGTTTGGCTGCCCTATAATAAATTTCCCAATCTGGGAGTCTGAATCCTCCCATGTTCCTTTTTTCCTGTAAGATTTTGAGAGAAATTCTTGGTCTTTTCCCCTCCCATACAAATTTCCTAATATTTTTATTTAATTCTGAGAAAAATTTCTTATCTAAATTTATTGGTATATTTTGATATAAGAATAGGATTCTGGGGAGGATATTCATCTTAATTGCGGCAGTTTTGCCTATAAGTGACAATTTGGTTTTCCTCCATCTGTCCAAATCTTGTTTCATTTTATTAATTAGTGGGGTGTAATTGTCTTCCTTTAGGGATGAGCACCTTTTAGTTATCCAAATTCCTAAATACTTTGTTTTTTTGACAACTTGCAGCCCCAGGGTTCCTTCTATCTCTTTCTGCTGCACCTCAGTTACATTCTTAGTTAATATTTTGGTTTTGGATTTGTTCAATTTAAGGCCTGCCACCTCTCCATATTTGCCTAATTCCTCTAATACTTTTTGCCCAGATTCTATTGGGTCTTCTAATATTAGTGCCACATCGTCCGCGAACGCTTGCATTTTATAGACCTCCTTCCTAATTTTTAGGCCTTTGATTTCCTCATTCTTCCTAATTTTTCGTAACAGAACTTCTAGGACTAAGATGAATAATAACGGCGACAAGGGGCAACCCTGTCTTACCCCCTTCTTAATCTGGAATGTTCTTATCCTATCTCCATTTACTAAGATGCTCGCTCTCTGGTTGTCGTAAATAATTTTTATCACCTTTTCAAAGTTTTGCCCAAATCCCATTATTTTAATTTGCTTAATCATAAAATTCCAATTTACATTGTCGAATGCCTTTTGGGCATCCAAAAAGACTAAGGCCATCTGCTTTTCGGGGTGCTCTTCATAGTACTCTAAAATATCTAAAACAATTCTCAAATTGTCCCT